GACCAGAGAGGAAATCTGCTCTTGTGAACTTTCCACACAATCTCATCTCTTCTGCAGCACAATATGGATCTACTTTGTTTCCAGTTACTTTCCCGATTTTAAACTTATCCTTCATGAATTCCTTCTGCTCGATTGTGAAGACGACTCTAGCTTTTGTTTCTTTTAATGCCCAACCTGGTGGTAATGAATTCACAGCATCTCTGGTTTCGTTAATGTTGGTAACAGAAAGAAGCCCTGGTACTTTGTTGGATGGATACATCTTCATAATTTTTTCAGCATAAATATATTTCGCTTTTTCTATGACACACAATCTTTCTCCGGCATCAAACGAACATGCACCAAGCAAAACATGGTCATCAACTGCTCGTCTAGTTGAAAATTGCTTGGTGCAGTTTTCTACAGGACACTGGAAACCTGTAATATGTTCTTTGGAAGACTCAGCTTCTTCATCTGAAAACAGAAATAGATGTAATGTACATGGAGATAGACTCCTGTACTTAAGGGGAGGGGGGTTTAGGTTCAAATTGGCAATAAAAAATTTTAAATGACATAGCTTTTATTCTGGAATTTTACTTTACATACTGTGAAATCATTTTAATTTCAGGGGGTGGGGGAAGCACTTTACTAATTTGTTGGGATGTTATTTCATAGGTAACAAGTATTATAATACTGATAATTCAATGAACCAATACTTCTTTGTGATGTAAATCCATGGGTAATTAAGATGTTCCACAAAATCATGAATAAATGGTCCTGAAGAATGATGATTCCACAGTATGTCACTCACTAATGTTTATGAAAATAAATTTAATAACATTGAATATATTGGTAATGTGTTTCTAACCAGATTTCTTTCCCTGATCAAAACCCTTGACTCTGCATGTCCCCAGTCTAACAGAGTTTTCAATTCTGCTGCTTGAGATGGGTAGCCTAGTACTCTCCATTTCATCAGTTTACCTTTAAACATATGCAAATTTATGTGTAGGTTGATTTTATTTTAAAGAGATGATCAATAATTTTAAGTATCATAAAAAGCATCATTGATTTAAAGCATTTTTCCCAATATGACTGGTTTCCTTTTTCATTCAAGTTGAAATAATGAGGTTTAACTGTAATTATTAAAATTGTGTCAAAATACCTTCACCAATACCATATGCTTTCCACATCCTTATAATCCATCCTGTGAGTAAAGGAAATTGTACAGTTTGGAAATTCCTGGGATTGAACATTTTGACTGTTGCTCATCAACAATATTTACTGACGAAACAACTTTCACTTTCAAATCTGGTTTCTGTTCGTTGTCCACTGCCTGTACCAAAAACAATTGTTATCATGTATCATGTGCAATATCATAATTTGGAGATCAATTAATGTACATATTTCTTACAGCATATATTGTCTTTGGTCAGCATATGGGTCCTTATAACCACATGTTGACTTAAACTGAAGTCTATAATTGTTTGATATCAAATTTAAACCAATAACTTTATACCAAATATATTTTAAAACAGAGATGTACTGTAAGCACTGAGTTCACAAAATGGTGCTCCCACTCCCATATGAGTATAAAAGCAAGGTCAATCTTTTGCTAATGAAAACCCCAAGTATCTGACTGTCCAATAAGAACAAAAAATAGACGCACTATTAATGGCACTATGTAACAAAGATTCTGCGAAAGTCTTCATAAATTTTATTCAGTGGTATAGGACGAATTGCACAAAAGAGATGTTAGGTTGAACCCCTGGCAATGTTATAGGAAGATTGAAAGCATCCATATATTTTGCTATGTGTAACCCTATTTATCTGCCCGATCAAAAATAAAAAGGAGGTGAACAATGGCACTATGTAAAAAAGTTCTGATTAAATGAAATCAATGGTAGAAGAGGAGTTCAGGATAAGAGATATGTTTCCCCCAAGTGCTAAAGAAGGACAGAATAACTGATGTGCAGATCTTAAAAAGTAGCAAGAGAATTAAAAAAAGTACTTCATTGACAAAACCATGTATTCATACCTTTTTCATATGAAAAGCTGATGTCACATCATTTCCTTGATCGATGTATCGCCTTATAATTGACTTTATGTGTGAAGCACGCCTATCACAAGGCCCTGCAATACGATAAATTTTCCAAGTATATTAAAAGAAGTCAAAATATTTTATCAACATGTTGGTTCATTAATCTTGTTAAAATGATGCTTACCTTTTCCGTTCTGTGCCTCGCAAAAATTAAAAGAAGACACATTGTCCTTGAGTTCTTTTCGTAACATCAGGATTGTGGTTGATGATTTGTAACATCCGGCATTGTCAGTGAAAAAATGAATGTTTTTCAATTCTGGTCTGTCCTTCAGAATGTCTCTAGCTACATCTGTCAAAATTTGTGAAGTTATTGATGCATCTTGGGACACAGGACAATCAAAAATGTGAATATGTGTCAATGAAGAGAAATTTTGTCCATCCTTTAACAATGTCACTGCAATGTGCCAATTAATCCCCCGTTTGGCAAACCAGTCCACTTGACCTATAAAATATTTTTGTACGTAACTTTTAATGTTTGATTTTGAAGTTGTTATAATTAACTACAAAAAAGAGATACAGTAAAAGCATACACCAACTATACATATATATATATATATATAGTAAAACATGCTTAAAGTTCAAAAGTGTCAAGTGTACAAGATGTACAAATTCCATCATACTGCAATGAGTACAATGTACTGGAGAATAAATAATTTTAAATCATTCCACATAACTATACTGGTACAGGTTACATTGCTAGAATTGATGTTCTAGATACAATATCTATCTAAACAAGAGATGTTTGTGAAACACTTATGCCCCCCCCCCATCCCCCACCCCCCAAAATAATGGAATTTTTTCTAAGTCCAATGGACATAACTCTGTCAAAAAATTCTCAATTGTACCCCAAAAAACAGAACTTGACCTAGATATTCTGATGATAAATCTGAATACATGTACCAAATTTCCTTTCAATATGTGCAACCTCTGCGAAGAAAATGAACAGAAACTGCAAATAATTGGAATTTTTCAAAGTCCAAGGGGCATAACTCTGTCAAAAATTGCTCGATCGTAGCCAAAATAGAACTTAACCTAGATATTCTTATAATAAATCTGTATACAAAATTTCATTTCAATGTATGCATCCTCTGCAAAGAAAAGAAGGAAACTTGGTGGACCGACAGACGCGTACAGATTGACCGACCCACCGACAGACAGCAGCAAAGTAATATGCCCTCCCTTCTTTGATGGGGGGCATAAAAATCACATAGAACAGCAAGAACATTTCATTTTATTTATTTTCAGGGTTAAATACTACTGAATTTCTAATACTGAGTCAACGATATACTAAACTGTCAAATATTTTATGCTTACCCTCTCTATATTTCTTAGGAAGAAACTTCATTGCCCAGTCACATGTAATAATAGCATCTTCTTCAGACATCTGTTGCACAATATCTGACCTAGCTCTCTCTTGGTTTCTACATCTTAGAATATGGCACTTCCATTTCTTTATGGCTTCAATAGCTTCTTCTAACTAGTAGATGAACAATGAGATTAAAACAAAAAAGTTCTTTTTCTTTCATTTGTGACTTGAAAACAGCTCACTAAGGAGACAGAATTTTAATAATAATTGTTATGCACAATCAGCATCATTACTGGAAGTAGATGAACAATGAGATTAAAACAAAAAAGTTCTTTTTCTTTCATTTGTGACTTGAAAACAGCTCACTAAGGAGACAGAATTTTAATAATAATTGTTATGCACAATCAGCATCATTACTGGAAGCAATGAAAAAGAGGCCCAGGTGCCACATTGCTCACCTGAGCACTATGGCTGGGAAAAAGCAGAAATCAGTTCAGTCTTGAAAAGTTTAAAAGTTTAAATATAAAAGTGGTTGGGGGGGGGATGAATTGAACAAATTTGAATCTACATTACCTGAGGATGCTTCCATTTAAATATGACCAATCATGGCTTTGCTGTTTTTGAGAAGAAGATTTTTGAAGATTTTTCCTATGTATTCCTATGTAAAACTTTGATCACCAATTGTGGCCCTACCCTACCCCCAGGGGTCATGTTTGAACAAACTTAAATCTACACTACCTGAGGATGCTTCCATGTAAATATGACCAATCATGGCTTTGCTGCTCTTGAGAAGAAAATTTTTAAAGATTTTTCCTATACATGTATATTCCTGACTGAGCTGAAGGATTAAATATAACCCTCTAGCAAGTGCTAGTAGGAGTGTACAACATATAGCCACTTTCTACTCTTGGAATATTTGAAGGGATGGTTTGTAAACCATTCCCAGATTATTTGTAAAAAAAAAATCTAACCATGTACATTGCTGCTTCCTTGTTCTGCCACTGGTGCTCCTCAGCTTTCTGCTTAATTGTACTGAGAATTACATCTACATTTTTACAGTCAGTACATGTTTCCCCATGCCGATGCTCACAAACAGCTGAGAAAAAGGGCTCAGTAGAACTAAGGGCATAGGATATGCAGTGGTCTTCAACCATATTTTCCTTGGTAATATGACCCTGAAATAACAATTATTTGAACATAAATTGGTAAAGCAGGAACAATGTATAGGAATAAACATGTATTTAACTGATATGTATTTGATGCCAATTTATTTTTTTTTTATTTTAATAATTTTAATTAGCATAGTAACTTGGGTAAGCAACTATTATGATTTAGAAAAACATAATCGCTGAGGGGACTGAAGTTCTACTGGTATTATTCGTTTATCTTATTAACGTACTGTATTTCGTTACCATGTTTTATTGATATTGGATCAAACCTGTAGGAAGAGAGTAGGATTTCGAAAAATTGTATATGGACACACAGCTACTACTTTACTATTGCATTAGCTCTTCTGGTCTCTGACCAGTAAAACTGAAAAAAAAAACATGCAAAAAAAAAATACCTTAAATCCTGACTTCAAATAATTTTTGGCACTTTGCAAATTAGCTGTGAGTGGCTTCAAGTCTTCAGTTGACAGTTCAAGTTTTTTCAGTATCTTGTCAAGATCCTCAAAGGCTTTAGTCCCTTCCATTAAAAAATTGTCTAATCCCTCAATGCTTTTCCTGACCACAGCTGAGCATTCTTCCAATATCTTGAAAAGAGTGCTACTTCCTAAAAGTATAATTAAGACTTAATTTAGTTCTTATATTGAAGAAATATTTAAAAAATAAAATAAAAATAAAATATTAAAAACTTATATAGAATTTAAAAAAAACTAATTAAATGTATTGTGTGTAATATTAGTGTGTAATAGTGTATATTTCTTGATTTTATTGATTGTTCTGATATGGTGTCCCAGAATTGACTGTCCATATAATATTAGTATCAATTGCCAAATTTTATATTACTCAGCAGCAAGTTATAAACTAATATAAGATATACCAAGAGGCTTTATATTATCCTCCTTGCATACATCCATGTATTGAGAGATAATGGTGGAAGGAGCCAAACATCTAATAACAGTTGCGATCTTTAGAACCTCTCCTGTTTCCATTTTCAAAGTTTTTTCTCCAAAAGGTTGATCTTTAATTATTGTTCCAGATGTAATAAAGTCAATGAAGTGGTCTAATTGGCTATGGGTATACTTTTCCCTTGAAACTTTCCTGTTTGAGATTGGTTCTCCTACACCATGCTCTTGAATATGTTCTTTTGCTTGATTGAATTTATATCTTGTCACACTAGGCAGAAGCTGAAAATGACAAAGCACACTACATATTTAAACCTTTTCTTTAAAATGAGATAACAACAGCAACTATCACAAATATCATACCACAGGTTGTAATAAAATGGCTATTACCATTTTCATTATTTAATCAACTCATGATCTCCCCACTTGGTTCTTTTTTCATAAAGAAGGTTAATATATATATTTATCACATGTGTTTTCCTTTCTACAGTGGATATAGCTCATAGGATATCATTTTCATATCCACAACTGTGACCTCACAATGATTTTAGTGTCAGTTTGAAACATGAAATAGCTATGTGTAAAACATGTTATAAAAAGAATCGCCCATGTTTGTGGTAGGATATGATATTTGCCAAGGTTTGGGGATAAAAACACACAACTTGCTGGATAAAAAATCATATCAAACCACAAACCATGGGAGATCCTATATATATATATATATATATATATATATATATATATATATATATATATATATATATATATATATATATATATATATATATATATATATATATATATATATCTGATTGCATACCTCTTTGACAGCCAAAAAGTCCTTGTCTTTAACTATTGTTGAGAGAATCTGTTGTTGGAATGCCCAAGAATTTGCTCCATTATAAATTTCGACAAGTGTCGCAAGAATTGCATTATCTTCCTCTGCAGAAGTTAGTTGAATATCATTCAAAACAGATCTTCTCAAAAATTCCTCTTCCCCTGGACAAATTGTTGTCAGAATAAGATCAAGACACTGCTTAGCCTTATTGATTTACCTCTGTTTAGTTCTGTTACTTGAATGTTTTAGGTAGACCTGACATTCCTTTATCGGGCTAACATTACAAAGGGCTAAGTATTGATTCAAAGCCTCAAGTTTTATGGAATTTGTTACTGAAACTTCAGACACAACTGTTTCCTGACTGAGATCTTCAGAATCAAATTCTTCACATCCATCTGAGGATTGTAAAGTACATGATGATACCTACAAGAAAAATTGATAATAAAAATGTATAACCTGAAGTCTCTTATGTGGCTGTAGCTCTTAGCTGATTTGTGATTAAAACAAACGAGCAAATTCAAAGAATTTTGGTCTCCTGCTTTTGGTGTCTTAGTGGTTGGGAAGCAATTATTTCTGGCTATTGTAATGCATATGGCAAGCACATTTAGAAATAGCACATTTAGAAACCTCTTTTCACAGGTAATGCACTTGTCAAATATGAATGCCCTACCTTTTCTCATTAAAAAGTTATCACCAATGTTTTGATGAATTTTTAAAACTAGGTCAAACCTCAATGTCAAGGTCATGAGATCAAAAATCAAACCATTTTCAGAAACACCTTGTCAAAGGTAATGCATACATAAAATATGAATGCCCCATCTTTTCTTATTCAAAAGTCACAATTTATTTTTTAAATAAAATCAAATTTTAACACCAAGGTCATGGGGTCAGAAATCATACAAATTTGAAAAGTTTCAATGGCCAAATTGCCATATAAATACTGAATTTAAGGTATATAATATGTAGGGACTGAGGAGCATAGAGTTAGTGTGTGTAGCTCTTTTCCTTGTTTCCTCATTTCCCAATTATCTCCCCTTGAATAAGGTTGTGCAAGTGCACAACACATGACTTATACCAGTCACTGTTGAATCAGTAAAGCTCTTTGAGCCTTTTGTTTGTGTAAACTTTTATAATTCAAAGAAAATTTCAACAAATGACAGCCACTGTCCCCTTTTTAAAGTACATGTAAACATATCCTTTTTTTTTTATTAAACTTGTACCTTCATCACTGATTGCCTTGGTCTTTTTACAGGTGTATGGACATTATTCATCATATCACTTTCATCACTAGAAATTGGCATCTGTTATTAAATGTAATACTTCATTTAAATTATTTTCTTCTAAAATGTATCTAGAATGCCAGTAAATGGCATCCTTTTGGTTTTTGTATCTCAATCTATATATTGTGTAATTATCTTTAATTTATACAAACAAAAAAAATTAACAATTTAATGCTGATGAAAATGTTAACTGCCACTGATTTTCTAAATTAAACATAATTTTCTCTTATATAAATCTTGTGTACCTTTGTTGATTTCCGTGCTCTTTTCATAGGCTTATACACACAGTCATCAGTCATGTCAGCTTGAAGTTGGTTATCATTATTCTCACTAGACTCACTTTTACAGGGTATCTGTTGAAATGAGAGTTTACATTAAAATTATTATGAATTTCTGTACTGACAGTAAAATCTAATCATTTAACCAATAGAAATCAATATTTTATCCTAATTTATAATTTGTCATTACATGTATAAACAGGTCTGCATTGTATTGTGGAGAAATCTAGTTCATAGCTGCTGCAATTTCCTTTTGAGTTTCAACTGGGGTTGTGAACACAGATTATATATTTTCTATAGATCTCAAAAAATAAATAAATATAAAATAAATAAATTAATACATTGAGAAGTCAGATCTTGAAGCCATTGATTGATGAGACTCTAGTCAAAGTCACATTAAACTATTCCTTTATTCAAAATGTGATGGCTTAATTAATTACTTCATTGTAACATTGTTTATATTGAAATTTCTCACCTTTTTTCTATCCTGAATTTGCTGACTCAGACTTTTTTTCATAATTATATCTACTCTGCAGCTATGACATATTCCTGAAAAGATATATTTGATACTAATAATATAATAGCTGTTGACACAGAAACTAATTATTTTTTACTCAGAGAACAAGTGAAGTTGATATATATATATATATATATAAGTGAAGTTGATATATATATATATATATATATATATATATATATATATATATATATATATATATATATATATATATATAAGAATATGGTTTTATGTAACAGCATATCCTGTTAATTAACTCGACTAAGTTTAATAGAAAATTCAGAACTCCCCAAATTCACTCTGAGGCTATGAACTTAAATTTTTACTGTCTTAGAGTCAATCAGATAACTGGAATATATAGGCCTAGTTATGAAAAAGGCCAAAAGCTAATGCTAAAAAAATCATAATACATCTGTAACAGTTTATTTTCCATTTTTAATAATCAATTTTTAATAAAATCAGTTTTCTTAATTTTTTTACTCTATATCACCTCTATAGTACTGTGGTCTAGCTGACTGTCAGACTGTTCAGCAGTACTTAAGCCCTAAATGATCCTTGATGTTACCCGAACTACACATGTATATTTCTTTTGTAATGCTTAATTGTTAACCTAATTTTCTATAGATCTTGATGACGCAGGAAACAAACAATGATTAAAATATTCTCTTTAAGACTACTTCTTCAGAGAAAAATATATTGATATTATTAGAAATATCATTTCTTATTACATCCCAACAAAATTTCTAGACAAGATTAGTGGGCCATTAATTCTTTCCAACCCTGAAATACTAGGACACGGATCAAAATTGTATTGTTATATTCCGAGTATATCTGAAGTGCACAAGTGTACATGTACTTCATATAAAGACTAAAGTCAAATCTAATCAGGGCCTATTAGATATACAGTGTATAGCCTAGCTACTGTACTAACCTGTGCCAATAGGAAGAACAGCTCCTGTCGCTGCAAATATCTGTTGCACCTGTTCTTCTGTTAGTCTTCTTTCATGTTTTTTGGGAAATGTATGGGTTGCCAAGTTTGGGGGGACCATACACTTTACAGTACGCATTCTATTGTAATCACGGCTTTCAAGTTCATGAAGATGATTATTACATATGACAACATCATCTATGTTAGGACAAATATTTTCAAAGTCACGTAATGTACATCCTAAATCTGAAATATATACAGATAACTTTTCCCTTGGAATGGAACTGACACAAGTAAATTTTAAACTGCAGGGGGATTTTACTAGAAATTTCAAATACTGGGAAATATTTTGGGAGCAGACAGCTCTCTGCCATTTTTCCCACTCTTTGTTTTCTTATCTCCCACACTGAAGAGTTCAAACTAACCAAAGGGAGATAATTCATTTTTTCAAAAGCAGTCAGTTTTTAATCATAAACTTCTCATATTTATAGATAGAATACCAATCAAGTCTTTGCATATCTGATTAATGTATATGTCAGATTTTTTATTGCTGCTGGTAACATGACTTGAAGTAGCCGCACTTCATTAAACAATGTTCCCAAATGTTGCGCTTTTGCAGAAAAAATCAACTTCAGACATCGTTTCCATGGCAACTACTCAACATTCATAAGATCTGACAATATTTTTTGGAGTGGTTTATGAGGTAGTACTTTCAAGCCAAATATGAAAAAAATCTGTGACTATGCGTGCCACAAAAGTTTAAGTGGTTATACAGAGAATGGCTATTAACATCAAACGGTTGCATGCATATAATTACCTGTATTTCCCCAAAGTGATCTACTAGGTAGTGAGTATTTGCTCACATGGTGATAAAAATTGAATGAATATCGCATTTCACACTGGTCGGTGATAGGTTTTAGATTTTGAAACAATATGGAAATTGAATCGGGGGAACAAATGGATAATCTATGATGGATTTACATACAGAAAAGTAAATGTTTTAAGGAATAGGGATGTGTCATACCGATGCAGCGTTGATAAAATCTGCAAAGCCACGATTACCCCCCCCCCCCCCCCCCCAAGTGGTAAGCAGGGGGCAACATGTTTTACCTGGCTACGGAAGATGTACGAAAAAAGTCGCAGAAAAGATAAAAAATTAAAATCACGGAAAACCAGTAAAACTTGTCTCGGAAGCAGGATTTTTTTTTCGCGGAAAAGCAGTGTAAAATCGCGGAAAGGTGATTTACTTATCTGTACTGTAAATACTAGCCTTTACCTTGTATAGACAACATATGCTTGTTTTTATGATACTAAGAGATAAGGATTACTTAATTGTCGTTCTAGCAGTGCCTACATTAATATAGAAGAATGAGGCCAGGATTTCTTTCTTTTTTGGTTGGATTTTGTTTGTCAGTGAACGGCGAGTTAACGATTGATGAAATATTTAGAAAAACAATGCAAGAATTTGTAGATGAAAAATGTAAAGACTATGTTGAAGAAATCCGTTTGCTTCGGAAAGAAGTGGTTTCTCTTCGTCGAACCCAAAGTCATATGGAAACAAAACTAAATGATATGGTAACCAAAATAATAGAACTGTCAAGCGAAAACAAACATTCGAAGCAGATTATAACGGAACTTCGCGAAGAAAATTTGTATGCCAGAAATCTGTCCCGTAGCAAAATGGCTGAAAAAGACTTTGGTGTTGGTCCAGAATCAGAAGTTCCGCTAAAGGCTGAGTCTAGTATTTACTAATATTGATTTCATTTTTAAAGAATTTGCTATATGATACTGCTAAGATCTTACGTGTGTAATAAATAATTTCTATATTTTTCTACAGTAACTACTCCGTTTTATTTTATGAATCATCATTTTATTATTTGTTCATATGGTCTCTTTGTTTATTTGTGTTAATGATCTCTTGAGTGATAATGGCTATGCTTTCTTGAGAAGAAAAATTGTTTAAGGTTTTTTTCCCCTTTATATTAATTCCTAATGCCTACCCCCAAGGGCCATGATTTAAACAAAAAATCTTTACTTTTAGAGCGGATTCAAGGTGGAAGCGTCAGAATTCTTACAAGTTCAATAGCTTTTTCTGCCTCATTGACGCATAACATAGCCAATCCCTATGACAACGAAATATTCGTATTTGACAGACTAGTAACGAATTCTGGAAATGCGTACAACAAGAACAACGGGATGTTTACAGCACCAATTAAAGGTATCTACGCCTTCTTCGCTTCTTTACTTACACTTCCAGGGAAACATTTGGAGGCAGTAATCGTTAGGAATGGTAATACCTTTTGCAATTTATACGCTGGTAATACAAACTTTTTTGGTCCTGGATTCAACATGGCTATCATCGAGCTAGACGTTGGAGACGCCATTTGGGT